GTGCTAGGATTACTGGTGTGTGCCACCACTCCCAGCCTTCTTCCCAATTTTAAAGACTTCGTGGACTGGGGATTTAGCTCAGTGGCACAGTGCCTGCCTGGCAAGCTCAAGGTCGTAAGTTTGATTCCTGGTAAAAAAAAAAAAAAAAAAAAAAAAAAAAAAAACCTTGACTTCTATCCTTGGATCTTTGGGCGTCTTATACCATAATTACTCCTGGTCTCGTTTGCTTGTTTATTTATTATTTACTTATTTATTTAAGAGTGAGACAGGGTCTCACTCTGTAGTCTAGGCCGCCCTTGAAGTTTGAGATTCTCTCCTGCCTCAGCTTCCCAAGTGCTGGGATTACTTATCCTTTTTTTATTTTATAGCACATACATGTAATTGTATCAAATATGGATTAAGTTGAGAAGTGGCCGGCAAGCGTCAGCCCAACCGCCGGCCCCCTCCCTCCTTCCCTGGCCTGAGTCCCGGGACTCCCCCAGAAGCATGACAGCCGCTTCCTCTCTGCCCTCACCCAGGTCACATGAGGTGCCAGAGCACATGACCAGGTGGCTCCCAACGCCCTGGGCCGCACAGCTGGTGTGCTGCAGGCATCCGGCCCAGCCAGGGCTCACGTCCTCCCTCTCGGCCCTGGGACCCCACTCGCTGGCAGCTGGGCCCTGGCTGTCACCTCCGCTGTCCCAGGCAGCCCCCAGCTATGGCAGTGCTAGGACAGGAGGAGCAGGGCCTGAGTTGCACCGTGGCTCTCCTTAGCTTGGGAAGCCGAGACCCTGACAGTAACCCCTTGTATTCCACGGACAGAGTGCGCTGATACTGCTGAATTTTAAACCTGTTGAAGAGGGCTGAAAATATTCTGAACCACAATAAGATATCATCTTACCTCAGTTCGAATGGCTATCATCAAAAAAAAAATTATAACCGGGGATATGGTGTCCCACAACTTCAACCCCAGCACTGGAGAGGCTGAGGCAGGAGGATCACCATGAGCTCAAGGCCAATCTGGCTATATAATGAGTTCAGAGCCAGAGATGTAGCTCAGCAGCACGGCACCTGCCAGGCAAGCGCAAGGTCCTGAGTTCAATTCCCGGCACAAAAAAAAAAAAAAAAAAAAAAAAATCACACAAGTTCAAGACCAGCGTAAACCACATAGCAAGGCTCTGTTTCGTACACACACACACACACACACACACACACACACAAATGAACACATGCGGGCAGGGGTGCGGAGAAAGGGGAACTGTCATATCCTGTTGGTGGCGGTGGAAATGAGTCCAGTCTCTATGGAAAACAGTACAGAGGTTCCTCAGATCACTAAAAATAGGGCTGTCACATGATCCAGCATCCCACTCCTGGGTGTGTAAGGGAAGGAGCAGGGGTCACATGGTCAGGGCAGCGCTGGCTCGACCCCAGCGCCCACCGACGGGTGGGGGGAAAAGGACACGCACTACACATGACGGAACATCAGGCCATAAAAGTGCAGGGAACCCTGTCATTTTCAGTGACATGGATGGGACAGAGGACATCGTGTGCAGGGAAAGAAGTCAGGAGCAGAGAGACAAATACCTCACATTCTCGGTCATGTGGGGAAGCTAACAGAGTAGCTCTCACAAGGACCAAGGACAGGAGCAGTGACAAAGGTTGTTAGAAGACAGGGACAGCGTGGCTATCAGGTCAGGGGTACTTAGATGGGAGGATTCCACTTCAGTGCTTCAGAGGGAAGGAGAGAACTGAAACAAACCATCATTTATTATGCATTTCAAAAGTGCTAGGAGAGGACTTTTGCAGGGGTAAGACAGAGTCTCACCATGTAGTCCAGGCTGGCCTTGAACTTGTGGTGATCCTCCTGCCTCAGCCTCCCAAGTGCTGGGATTACAGGCGTGCACCACCACACCCAGCAAGAAG